TCACTTACTCTCACTCTCCCAAACCGGATTCGAACCAAAGAGGAATTTCAAAGAGTTTTTAACGTCAAGAGAAGGATTCGAGGTAAGATTACTGAAAGAACCTCTCTTGAATCTCAAGTTTTCAGATTTTAAAACTTATTTTGGTTCAAAATGGATTTTGATGGATTTTGAGTAAAACTATGGTAGAAATTGGAGATCTTGGATTCTTTGGACTTGATTTAGTGCCTAGAACCTGGATCTAGTGGTTGTCCCTTGAGATATCTTGATTTGGGACTGAAGTTGCAGGTTTTCGAACTGATTTTGCGAGTTTAAGGGAGTTATCATGCGCCAAGTCTAAGCACAAAATAGGGGAGTTTCTTAACATTTCTTTATTGTCTTGATTGCTTACACTTTTGAGGATATGTGCCTATTGAGTTTAGGGGGTGAAACTTTTTCTTTGTTTTAAAAAAACAAAAAAATGAAAAAAAAAATAGTTTTTTTTTTTATTTTAATAAATTGAGATGATTTGGGATGCTTTTGGTGATTTCCATTCCGATGATGAGACTATGGCTAATATTTTTTTACAGCTTTTGGAAAAGTGTTAATTTTATCTAGGTGTGTGTTTAAATTTTAGAGTGAGTTTTATTTTGATTGTGATTGTTCCTAATTTGAGCACCATGCCTTGAACTTTGAAGTGCATGTTAATTTAGAGAATGCTTATGTGAATATGTGATTTTTCTCGATCTCACAAGTCTTAGAATATGTTTGAGTCTTTCTCGAGACGAAATCCTATACTACATATTATCAAGGAAATTATTTATGTCATCTTTAGATCGTTTGAACTTTTCGAGCCTACCAGGATATATTTTTATCTATAGTATATCCCGTTGAGCCAAATTTTATCTTTTCTTTGTTACCCACTATTTAAGCCTAGCCTTTCGAATTACTTCCAAATTTCTCGTCCCTCACACGATAAGCATGTTGGTCACTTTAAAGAAAATATTTTTAGCTATGCTGAGCAAGGGAGGAAGGGTGGAGTTTTGAAGGTTTTCGGGATGTTTGAAGTGCAAAAAAAAAATACACTAGTGGAGCGGCGCCAGAAAGGCAAGGCCGTGGTGCTGGTGGGTCGTATTAAAGGCCGCTGTAGCACTGGAAAGCCAAAGCTATGGCACCAGATTGAGAAAAAAAAACAAAACAAAACTCTACGCTTCGAGGCACCTTCATTGGTTAGAGATGTTGTCTTTCTACCCTCTATGTTCTTTCTTTTCAAAACATTGAGGATAATGTTGATTTTAAGTTTGGGGGTCGGAGACAATTGAAAAAGAATTTTTGGATTGATAAAAGAATGTTGAAAATAAGTTTGGAGTTATTACTTAAAAGGGATAATTGAGCTCTATAGCGGTTCTAAAGTGATTAATGTGCTTCGAAGGGTGATTTGAGCTAAAAATTTTTCTATATCCAACTTTGTTTCAAGGCGGACATTACAAGCTTAATAAAGCGGTAGCGTTTAGTTCATAAATTCAAACTATGTGTTTAGAATCATTTTCAATTTACGTATATTTTTTATGAGAGAAAATACTGTAACGAACTACGAACCATAATTCAAATCAAAAAATGAATCTAGATACCAAACGGACTCATCGTCGGTGATATGTTAGTTTAAATTAGTTTACATTAGTGGTGAGCTGGGCGAAATAAAGCTAATTTGGAACTTAAAATAAGGTCCGGATAAGAAAATCTCCCACGCACAGCCTGCTCACACATCATCAGCTGCCTCTACATGTGCCACGTCATCCAAAGCCAGGCCCACTTAGCCTGGGCCCAATAGGCTTCCGCCATATGGCTGCGCATTGAGAAGCCCTACTTTGTGCTGTGTTTTCCCTATGTGCCTACGTGATTTGGAGGCTTATAAAAGCCACGCAGCCGCTTCAGAAAAGGAGATCCCCCCTTAGCATTCAATGATTATTCCACAGCCCCATTGAAAGAGCTAATCGAGAAAAATTAGGGGAAATTATTTTGGTGATTTTGGGGTCACTTTCTAGATTTATTTTATTTAGGATTTTAATTTTTGGATTAGGATTTGTGAGGGAGAAAATATTTTGAAAATCAAGAGCAAGGGAGATTGAAGATTGAAGAGTCAAATTTGGAGAATTATGACACCTCTGCACATGTTTTTCACTCTAATTTTTCATTCTTTCTATTTTTATGAATTGAGATATTAGAATCCTTGATTTATTTTATTTTTATTTTAATGTTTTAATTTTCTTTTGTCAGGGTTATGAGATTTCCAATTCTATTTTAATTATATTTTAATTTAATTTAATTTACTTTTGCTTTCAATGAATTAATTTAGTAAGTCTTTTGTTCACGATTGTTGTTTCTTTTACTGTGCTTAATGCTTTCATTTATCTGGTCAATATTTGAATTGTTTAGAAGACCTAGATTGAAACCTGAGAAGGAGATATTCAGGAATAACTTCTTATGAGAGAAACTGTAAGGTGCGCGCGACATCGAGAGAACCAGAAAGTGCAATGAATTTTTAGGGTGGTGAAATTCACATAAAGAGATAGTGAGTTTACATGCTAGGAATGTGTTTGGTAGCATTCGAAGAATGACTTTTAAATAATTTAGAGTTACTCGTTTTAACACATGAATAATAGACGTTGTTTGTAAGGATAATGAATTAAATTATATTAGTTTTAGTGAAATCGGATGCCCTAGTCTTTCATTTATTTGAGTCTTTAATTTATTTAAGTTTTTATTTGTATTGTGTTTTTATTATTATTCAATTTTATTTTCGGTTCTTTAAATACTTTTAAAGTTAACCAATTTCGGTAATTAAATAAAATTAACACAATCCTTGTGGGAATGATACTTTCTCATCACTTTGTTACTTGTATGCGATATTGTGCCCTTGCAATTTTCACATCAAGAATGAATAATTTTTTGGAAGGAAAATTTATTAATAACAAAATAAAATTAATACCAAACTAAGTAAAAAAAGTAAAATCTGACTAAAATAAAATAAATTTTAATAAAATCAAAGTAAAATGATTTAAATTAAACTATATAAAATTAAAATAATAAGATTTAAAACTCAAGAACATAGTCTAACTAAATGCACAAAAAGTGGTGAAATAACTCTATTTTGTAGAGTGATCAAAACTCAACTTGGAAGTTTGTGTTGATGTCGTGTAGGCATATAACATGTTGAATAGGTTGTTTGCATCGAGAAGTGTGATTTTTCTAATATGTGATGTGAGCATGTTACGGTTGCGTTTTTATGTTCTATATATGATATTTTTTGTGGTAGACTAGAAATAGTCTAGTGAAAACGTAAACTTTTGATTAGTTTGGTATGAGATCTAAGACTTGGCATGAGAAATTGTTATTATGGCATGAAAATATGGACTTTCTACTGCATATATATGATTTATCGATGTCTGGAACGTTTTGAGTGAAATCGAAAACTTGGGAAAAACGATCCTCCTTGACAACATCCTGGAGAACTTGAAATCATATGATAATGGTTCGGTTTGGAGACAAGCCTGATGTACCATTATTTCAGAAAATTTATGTTGGTTGTGTTAAATATTGATAAAACCATGGTTTAAGTAACCATGTTGAATTATTTTGATATCGTACACATTTTCGAATAGTTTTCAATGTTATTTGAAATGTTTTGGATTTAAAATTATGTACCTGAAGGCTTGAATTCTTTGACTATGTCGGCCTGATATGATTGGGATATAGAGATTACATCCTTGGGATGAAAACCCAGAATCCGGTCGGGACCACTCATATAGTGGTTGGCCATGAAATAGTAAAAACGAAGATATAATATACCTAAATGAGTTTTATGGTTGAAATGTTTATTTTTTCTTTATTTGTTATTTATTCGCTTAACTATTTTCTTTTCTATTTATTTACACTTGTTATTTACAAATTCTATTGGGATTTCACTCACATTTTAGTGTTTTAAATTTCCCCCTCCCAGGTTGTGTGGACTGTGAGATAACGATTTGGCTTAATGTTGTTGACCGGTACTAGTTTCTCATAGAGTTTTCTATACGTTGGCTTGAGGTATAAGATTAATTAAGTTTCTGTAACTGTTGTAAAAAAAATTGTACTGTACCACTAGTCCCCGATCTTGTATAGAATTTCGTATTGAGACTGTTTTTACTATTTATGGACTTTTAAGCCCTCTCGAGGCGGTCATTTTATTGTTATTATGTAGTCGGTCTTGTTTGTACGGATTTAGAGTATTATTTCAGGTTTATTTTATGCTTCATTTTCATTAGTCGCGTTCCCCATTTTCGGGGTGTGACAAAACCGTCATTTAGACAGCAAAACTTTTGATTTTTAGACATTATTAGATGATGTTTTAATGAAAAATCGTTAGTCATCTATCTATTCCCGCGTTTTTAGTAGTGTCGATTTAAGATTAACTCATAAGAATTAATAATCTTTGTGTAATTAATGTGAGGATTTATTCCATTCAAATATTTTTCTTAAATTTATAAATCAAAACGTGGATTGGGAACAACGGACAGGAATTCTTACTGCCTTGCCACTTTTATTATTGAATTCTTTTCACACATAAGTCTCTCCTTTTTATTCATTTTATTTGCAAAGAAAAATCAGAAAATATCACCTTATTTATTCATTTAATTTATTTGTCTCTTTACCGTTCGCTTTCTGCTTTTTTTTTTTTGGTTTATTTTTATTACTTGCTAATTGCATTCTGCTTTTTTTTTTTTTTTGTTTATTTTTATTACCTGCTAACATTATACCTGTCTCCTTTATTGTAGAAGTGAGCAAGTTCAGTCTCTCAACTTTTTTTTTTTTTAATCATCATTAACGTTCATCTGGAAGAGAGTGGAAGTATATTCAACAAAATAAAAGAGAGTTAAAGTACTTTTTCACTATACAGAAGACAAGCTAGATGTTGAAGAAGGCCAAAAAAACAAATAAAAAAAACAAAAAATGAATGAAAAATGAATTAAGAGATACAATAAATATATATATATATATATTTAAGTGGCCGGGAAATATATATCATGAAATTACATTTAGGATCGATCGTTCATATCGTTTTGCTGAGTTAAACAAAATTTAGCAGTACATATAATTTCGATCAGCTAAATATTTTTCGTCTCCATATATCTGTGGACCTAAATATTCAATCCAGTCCATTTGTGAATTCTCTGGCATCTCAATCTCTTCCAACCATCCATAACTTGCTCCCTCCTCCAATTTATTCTCTCCATCTGCGTTGTATAATTCATTTCAAGAATTATTTCAGCCGTTTTGCCGAACTTGTGATATCTTAATTAATTACAATATTTGTTACCCAATGCGTCAAAAGAATATAAGCCTTTTTTTTAATTAAACTCACACGCCAATTATTCTAAATTACCACAAAATTACTATATATGTTTTTACAAGAAAACTCTGGTTGAAAAAATGATGAACTTCAAAATATGCGTGTATAATACTGTCGGCATTAATATTAGAAATAGTAAAAATATAGGAAAGAAATGTATAATTATAGAATAATACTTACTGGAATAGGAAGAATGGGGATAATCTTTGTAATAAGTGCAGTCTCGACCGTCTTCAGTGGAATAAGGTGGTCCAAGCACATCAAGTACTGCACATGGAGTTATGGCTGTAAAAGCATGGATATTTCCTCCTGTTGTTGGGTACAATACAGACGTATTGCAAGGTGCTGTGAACACGTTATCAGTTTTCAACTTCGCTAATCTCACTGCCCACAAAAAAAAAAAAAAAAAAAAAAAAAAATCATTAATAATGATTTACAAATAGCTATAATCAATATAATTCAAATAATAATTATTCAATTAAAAAATATTGCTAATATGGGAATGGAAAGAGAATTATGAGCCTACACATGCATGTTGAGACGAAGTTTGAAATAAGTCGTCTAATATCGCTACAATAAGTTCTATATAACTTTGCTATTCTTAAAATATTTTTGAAAAATAAAAAATTATTATATTACTATATAAACCCAAGAGATTGTTGAACGAATTGAATATGGATTGTAAAGAGAATTATGAGCTGCATACTCACGTTGAGACGAAGATTGCGAAGAGTCATCTTTACTAATTGCTGAAGCGTGATGATCAACCCAATCATACGATTTGATGTGCATCGTCCCTAACAAAAGCTTTGAAAAGACAGTCATTCCCGGATGGTTATGGAGTGGAATGACACCATTCGCCGGAAGGAAGAATAGACATAACTGCGGAAAAACAGTACACCTGTCGATAATTGTATTTAAAAAAAAATGACGAGAGAAAATAACTGATGTTATTAGACAAACGTACATGTGTCGATAATTGTATTTAAAAAAAAAAGACGAGAAAGGATAACTGATATTATTATACAAATATACGTGTGTCGATAATTGTATTTAAAAAAAATGACGAGAGATGATAGCTGATATTATTAGACAAACATACACGTGTCGATAATTGTATTTAAAAAAATGACGAGAGATGATAGCTGATATTATTAGACAAACGTACACATGTCGATAATTGTATTTAAAAAAATGACGAGAGATGATAACTGATATTATTAGACATATGAATATACAGATTATAAAAATAAAAAAATTAAAAAAAAAAAAAGAAGAAAGGAAGAAAGGGGTGATCCACTTTTTATCAGTTTGGGGCTTACCGAAAAATCTATGCATTTGTATATTGTTGTGTATGTGACTCTAGGCGGAGTCCCCTTGGGGACAATACTGTTGGGCTTGAAGAACTGTAGATCGCTACTGAGTCCAACGTCTTCTGCTTTCATTTTCTCTATGCAAACCATATCATGAAAAAAGGCTTATTATTAGTCACAAAAAGAGACAATAAAACATTAACGATATTACACGCATTCTGGAAATGCACATTACACTAGTACACAATGCTAGCTTGTTAAAGAGACTGAATAAAATAAAAGCATGTTTGCAAAAATAAATAAATAAAGAATTAAAGTAAGAATGAACTCGATATATCCCACTGATACGTGGTCGTTTTAATATACTACCACGTATAACTGCATCACCATGATAATGCTAATAATAATAACAATAAATATTTTAAAATCATACCGACATAAATAAAATAACGCAACTGTTTCTTCTTCTTTCAAAGAAAAAAAAAAAAAAAAAAGAAAGAACACAATCCCGATTCTGCCCTTATTGGAATTTTTTTTTTTAAATAGTCTCAAAAATATCATACAAAATATCATACAATATTATATATATATATATATATATATATATATATAACAATGGATCTGCCGTAGCAGCGTGACTTCTGCTTCCCATAACCTGACCTGTTGCTAGGAAAAACTCCCTCCATTTCTCGTTTTTCGTAATGTTAGTGTGGGAAGGAACGCGGATTTTTTTTTTATTATTTTTTAAATAGTCTCTAAACTCTTACAAGATATTATACAATATTTTAGTTAACAGACAAAATTAACTAAAGAAAATGGAAAATGCATCTTGTGAACAAAGGAATCACTATCTGATGAATTCCCAATTCGAGAACTAGATCTACACGAGTTTCAAAAATATGTGGATGTGTGGATAAGATTAAAGAGACTAATTACATAATTAATTGGTCACTCTTTGTTCTTTCAACCAGTTGTTAGCCTACTAATGCAGATCATAAGAAAACAACTGTAAAAACACTTCGTTATATAGATCTGTATAACGACAATGTCCTCCGAGGTTCAGATACATATATTCGATAAAATCGATTATAAGTCCTATATTACATAATGCACTGGTGCCAAATTTATAAAAAAAATTAAAAAAAAAATAAATCTGAAATTATATATGTCTGGTGCAACCCCTATAGAAACACGTGATTGACGTGTTAATATTTAAGGATGTACTAATTATAAAAACAGAAGTTTTCTGATGGGTAAAATTAAAAATGAAAATAATTAGGTTGATATTTGATAACATACCAAGGATGCGACAAATCTTCAGCACGTCGTTAGGCAAAGGAACCGTGCCAGGGCCTTTGAAAACTTGTCGGCAAGAAAAGAAGAGATCTTGAAGCGTCACGGAGACTTTAGGAGGCACTTCAACCCTCTTTATCCTTCTCGATTTGCATTTTCTCTTCCCAATCACCTTCTTCGCGTATCCGATCCTGCTCACGTGCCTCACCCTCTTCTCACACCCCTCCATCAATATCTAATATCCTTATTTTCTACAAATTACTATTCACCAAGAACAAATATTATCGTATACTTTTGCTGCTTTTTTTTTTCTGAGATAATAAGAATATGTACTTCAAGAATGACGAGAACCCCAAATCGATAGATGTCGGATATATGTAGCGGAAGCGTGACAAAAACTAGGAAATAATCAAGAAGAAATAGGAATGCGGAAATGGGTATGTTTGAAATGTGGAAAGAATGGAAGAAAAAACTTTCTGAGTGCTCGAGGAAATTAACAGCAGTGGAAAAGGGAAGTGGTGGGGAGATGACATAATATAGAGTGGGAGGAAACAGAGACAGAGAACGCCAAAACTAGGGGCCAAAGAGAAGTTGGATATGGGAAACTGTTTTGGGAAAAACTTATAAAAAAAAATAAAAAAACAAACTATGCTCGTTTTAAAATAATTTTATTTTTTTATAAAAATATAAATAAAAATGTTTTTAATATTATTTTTAAAAATACATTTAATAATTTTATTAAACGATTATTTTCAGTGTAAAAAAAAACTCATTATTATATCAAATACTATTTTAAAAATATTTTTATTTTTTTTTTTAAAAAAGTGAAAAATAAAAATGAAATCAATTTAAAAGAAGCCTATTATTTGCCATTGCAATTTCGCATATGTTTTTTTTTTGGGGTAGTATTCCTGGTGTGGCCGCCCCTTAGATTGAGATGAAACCGGCGGTTAACGAAACCCCTGGTTTTGGGAAAGGGACCTAGTTTGTTATTGTGCGTGTCAAGCTGGTCACTCAATTCCTCACGAAATGACCAAATTCCCATTGACTTTTCCCATCCGGGTTTTGGATAAAGCCGCTGGGTTTAGATTTTGATATTGTCGGTGTTTTTCTAAAACCCATCTACCTTTTAGAAGGTGGTTTTCCTTTCATTTGTTACTTTGTTCAATAGAATAAGTGACATTACGGTGGCATTCTTTTGACCTAATTCACTTGCGATGGCACTATTTTTAACTGTAAAAACTTTTTAAAAAGAAAGAGAAGAGTCTCCATCACTAAAACTAGCATAAGATAAGGATTTTACCACCTCCAATGTTATACAATTAAAATACTCATAGGGACCCGCACAAATTAGGTGTTCTTTATTTTTCGTTGCTTTTCTTTTTTATTTATTTATTTAATTACTAGTTGTAAACACGCGCTCCACGCGTGCGTATTTAATATTTTTTATTGTGTATTTAATATTTTTTATTTTTTGATATGCTTGTCCTAATTTTTTTTTTTTTGAAAATTTTATAATTTATGGTTTCTTTTTTCATTGTTTCCGTAAAATTAAATTCAGTAGAAAAAATATTAAATGGAGCAACATTAAAATGAAAAGAAGTTTTAAATGGGGCGAATTAGTCAAAAAAAATTATTCAGTGTTAAACATGAAAGAAATTTATTTAGAAAAATTTAAGATAAAATTTATCTCTAATACCTTGTGGTGGCCGAATTTTCCTACCGGTAGGAGGGAGAAAATTGTTTTAAAATTAAATGAGAATTTATATTTATTTTAAATGAGATTTAAAATAAAGATTTATCACCCATTTTCTGACGCCTTGTGTCATAGAGATAAATTAGAGTTTATGTGGGACTCTAATTGGTATTCTATAAATAGGACAATTTTTTGCTCTCCATCCTCTATAGTAGGTGTATAACACACCAATGACAGGTGTGGACCATGCCTCTGATAGGCGTATAACATACTAGCGATAGGCATGTAACCTGAGAAAAAAATAGAAGAAAAATTATTCTAATTCCCAGACCTTTTATAGCATATGTTGATGGTAGTGGGAGATTAGTGAGTTGAGCGCTAGTCCCGTTTTGATTTCAAGTTGTGCCTACACACATAGTCTTCGTAGAACCAAGGAGTAGACAAAGCAGATTTTTAGTGATCTGAGAACCGGAATACTTGGATTATAATTTATAGCGTTGATCAAGTTTTGTTTGTACTTGATCTGGATTATCAAGCTTTCGCATCCTAAATTGTTTTGGAAACCAACAACTTGATTGTTCCCTAAGTTATCCAGTTACTTGTTATTGGAGTCCGGTAGATTCGGAGGGTATGACGTGTCAGTGTTGAAAATATGACAATAAGTTGCCCGGTGAAATTTTTATAATTTTTATACTGAAACCACTTAGGACATGTTCATGATGCCATATAACATAATTACTAAATATCTAAATCAAACTTTTGGAGAATTTGGGAACAACACGTTTACTAAATTAAAGCGTTCCAAACAGCAATCAGACTAGCCTTAATCAATTAGTCTTGTTTGTTATTATCTTTTTCACGATTAAAGTGCGAGTGGACACACATCGTTTAATTTCTTCTTAGTATCTTCAACTCGTTTCAATCACAAGAGAGTCAAATGAGAAATTAATCTTGAGATTTGATTAGTTTTTTCTCTCAGAACCCTTACCAATAGCCCCAAAAAGTCTTAAATAATCTAAAGAATAATGGGACTTCCTAGTTTGTTATTGTGCTTGTCAAGCTGGTTTCTTACTCAGTTACTCACGAAATGACCAAATTCCCATTGACTTTTCCCATCCGGGTTTTGGATAAAGCCGCTGGGTTTGGATTTTGAAAATGTCGGTGTTTTCTAAAACCCGTCTACCTTTTAGAAGGTGGTTTTCCTTTCATTTGCTATTTTGTTCAATAGAATAAGTGCCATTACAGTGACATTCTTTTAACCGAATTCACTTGCGATGGCACTTTTTAACTGTAAAAACTTTTTAAAAACATAACAATGCACTTAAAATTTATGAAAAAAAAGAGAAGAGTTTCCATCACTAAAACTAGCATAAGATAAAGGATTTTACCTCCTCAAATGTTATACAATTAAAATACTCATAGGGACCCGGACAAATTAGGTGTTCTTTATTTTTCGTTGCTTTTCTTTTTTTATTTAATTACTGGTTGTAAACACGCACTCCACGCATGCGTATTTCATATTTTTTTATTGTGTATTTAATATTTTTTATTTTTCGATATGCATGTCCTAATTTTTAATTTTTTTTTAAAAAAATTTATAGTTTATGTTTTTTTTCCATTGTTTCCTTAAAATTACATTCAATAGAAAAAATATTAAATTGAGCAACATTAAAACGGAAAAAGTTTTTAATGGGGCGAATTAGTTAAAAAATTATTCAGTGTTAAACATGAAAGAAATTTATTTGGAAAAATTTAAGATAAAATTTATCCCTAATGTCCTGTGGTCGCCGAATTTTCCTATGGTAGGAGGGAGAAAATTGTTTTAAAATTAAATGTGAATTTATCTTTATTTTAAATGAGATTTAAAATAAAGATTTATCACCCATTTTCTAACGCCTTATCATAGAGATAAATTAGAGTCTCTGTGGGACTCTAATTGGTATTCTATAAATAGGTGGGAGTAGAAAATTGGAGAACACAATTTTTTGCTCTCCATCCTCTATAGTAGATGTAAAACACACCCATGAAGGGCGTGGACCATGCCCCTAATAGGCGTATAACATACTGGCGATAGGCATGTAACCTGAGAGAAAAATAGAAGAAAAATTATTTCAATTCCCAAACCTTCTATGGACATATATGTTGATGGTAGTAGGAGACTGGTGAGTTGAGCGCTAGTCCCATTTTGATTTGAAGTTGTGCCCACACACATAGTCTTCGTAGAACCAAGGAGTAGAGAAGGAATATTTTTAGTGATCTGAGAACTGGAAGACTGGGATTATAATTTATAGCGTTGATAAGAGAACCGGAACACTTGGATTATTATATATAGTGTTGATCAAAAGTTTTGTGCAAATTTTTGTTTGTACTTGATATGGATTATCACACTCTCGCATCCTAAATTGTTCTGGAAACCAACAACTTGATTTTTCACTAAGTTATCCAGTTACTTGTTATTGGAGTCCGGTAGATTCGGAGGGTATGACGTGTCGGTGTTGAAAATATGACAACAAGTTGCCTAGCGAAATTTTTATAATTTTTATACTAAAACCACTTAGGACATGTTCGTGATGCTATATAACATAAATACTAAAGATCTAAATCAAACTTTTGGAGAATTTGGGAACAACACATCTGACAAATCAAAGCGTTCCAAACAGCAATCAGAATAGCCTTAATCAATTGGTCTTATTTGTAATTATATTTTTCATGATTAAAGTGCGAGTGGGCACACATTATTTAATCTCCTCTTAGTATCTTCAACTCGTTCCAATCACAAGAGAGCCAAATGACCAATTGATCTTGAGATTTGATTAGTTTTTCCTCTCAAAACCCTTACCAATAGCCCCCAAAAAGTCTCTCAAGTATTCTAAAGAGTAATGAGACTTATTGGGCTTTTTATAGTGTTTAGAAAATCATATTCTTATAGCAATTAGGTTACCCGAAGCCAAAAATGGCATAACAACTCGCATTGAGTCGGTTTGCCACGTCAGCAGTTATAACCGGTCGGCCGGTCTCGAGCCTTTATAAATTCCGTTGGGAATGGTTCCTAAAAACATGAGATATTATAGGATATTTATTATTTATTTAATAAAAGAGTTTATTCATTATTTTATATGCATATATTATTGAATATTTTATGAATATCATTAAAAATTCCATGATTATTTATGTGATCTTAAATATTGTATATAAGTGTTATATGCGAGAGAATAATATTTAAAGAAAATAATCAAAACAATGTTTGTAATGAATTTAATTAAACTTCAGAATTTTTAATTAAAACATTACTAATACATGTCATTCCCATTTAGAAATGGAACAATGTTATCCGCATTGTTAATATAGCTAGATATTGAATGAGTGTATTCTAAAAAATTTGAATAGTATTCTAAAAAATTTGAATAGTATTCTAAAAAATTTGTAAAATGCTAGTTAATTATTAATGAACTCATAATTATTAACACATTACAAACATACTAATTACTTATATACTTATTATTAGTACCAGTTCTTAATTGCTTAATACATGATTTTATTATATATAATTACAAATATATTCATTAATTAATGATATACTTATTATTGATATTAATATTAATAATATCATTATTATTATATTACTAACTCATAACGAATGGCTATTATATAGTTCTATAAACTTAAAACGTATTTTTAGAAATATAACCATAGTTTTACTTTCTACGTATGCTTAATCTCTTAGAAAAGAACCCTATAACCTAATTTCAGAAATGAGCTAGCATGATTCTTTAAAAAAAAATCTCATTTTCAACTTTTATTCAAAACGAAATAAATATTCAAAATTTATAAATAATAATTTACAATCATGTAGTACCCCAAC